ACACGAAGAACAGGACCACAGCTCAGTGGAGAAGACTGCCTCTCTGTAAGGATCTACCCTTCAAATTGAATAGATCCAACTACTCGCAGGATTTTGTCCACATAGCTATGTTTCATCTCTAGCCAAAAATCAGAACATTTATGAACCTCTCCTATTACTTATTAAGAACTTCCATAGCTGGAAGGTAGATCAAGGATTAATCTTGACTCCAAAATACCATCATCAGCATAGTTCACAGTGTTCAGTAGAAATCTGTCTCAGTCTCAGGATAAAGCAAAGACACTCGATGCTGTCTGGTGGTGGCATGGAACACCCACCCTTAGTTATCACGCAGAGACATCCCATCTTTTGGGACAGACTCTTGTAGAAGGAAGTATTATGATTAATTGTTATATGACCATTTTGCCAATGGCATCTCCTTATGGATGTGAGATTGTTTCATTAGGAGTTATGCATTTGACTGAAATGAACTACTTATCCCATCACATACAATAACATGACCTGTTATTTTGCACTTTATTAGTGATAAATTTATTAGAATGAATCTATAAAGGACAAGTTTTAATTAGTGTTTTATACAGCAAGTGACATTTTCATTGAAAAAAAAAGTAATGTTAAAATAAAATTTCATTTTGAAGAGATTTAAGACAGTGATAATACTATGCTGGTTTGACATCTTTAGAAGGTAAGATTTTTAAAAAAGAAATGTTAACCATTTTATGTAAAGCAACAGAAATTTTGGGCTAGAATCTCAGATGATCATGGGCAGTCACTGTACTTTTATACAAACAGTCTCCTTCCAGCACCTGAAAACTCAATTTGAAAAAAAAAAAAAAATTTGGGGAATGAAGCAAAATGTCCTGTTCCTAACCAGTTGTCAAAATACTCCTTGTCAAACTTGACGTGCAAGGTCAAAGCCTCCTGTGTCTGGGTCTGCTGCGGGTTGTCAGCAATCTGTAAATTATCTCCCAGGCACCTAAATGTTCAGATACCTAAGATTGTACCAAGTGGCAGTAAAGACAGCAAGATCTCCCTCCTACCAACGCATTTTATTTTTCAGCTGCCCACCTCATTTTAAGCAACCTAAGAAAATTAAAAATATCTTCCTTAGCAAACCTGTCAAGGTCCAATACTCACAGTGTAAACAGATAGATTGTCCCTTCTCTGGGACCACGGGTCTGATGAGGTCTTCTGAAGAAGCCAAATGAGAACTGACTTCTCATTTTGCGTGGTGTCCTCCCCATCCATAGGCTCAGGAAGCTGTGACTGATTAGAGGCACTGTACTAAATAACAGCAGCCATGATAGAAAACCATAATGAAAACAGCTCTGAGGATAAATACATAAACAGAGATTTTTACAGTCCAAGAAACCAACAAGAGAACATCAGGGAAATGTATTAAACATGGTAGCATGGAGGCAGGCAAGATAAATTTCACTGTTTTAAATTATGTGAACACCAACATCAATGACATAAAAGAATAAGGTTAAAAAAAATCACATTTTTTCCAAAGAGTAAACAGAAGAGAAAAGCAGAGAGGGATATCAGCCTCTTCATTCTCTTAGGTACCCACAATATTTTTTTAGGAGCAGGGAAGAAGTTTCCAGACTGAAAGGACAGCCTTGTTCAACTCCGGACCTCAGTTTAAATTGCAGACCAAGCTAAACAGCAAAGAAAGAACAGTTGAGATTTTTCTTCCCAGCTTCTGTGAAGGGTGGAGAGTTAGAAAAGAGAAACATGGTGGTGAAGGGAGCTGAGCCAGCAGGGAACAACCTTTGCCTTTTGGAGACCTCATCAGTCTCCTGTCAGCTAATCCAAGCTGCTTGTTGTCTTACAGGGAAACCCAAAACCACCATGTGTCATCTGCTCCAGTCCTGCCCACTCCAATGGGACATTTTGCTCCTGGAAAACCTGTGGCCAGAGGGTGGTGTAAAGTCGTAGGGTCACCATATCTGTGACACCCTTCTCTGGCTGGTGGCCCTGAGGCTGTGGAGTTGTCCTGGGGACAGTGGAAATAACCATTAAGAAATCTTAAAATGCAGTGATAGAAGAAAAAAGAAAATTCAGAATTGTTAAGGTGTTTCCTTTCTGTAACATGTCTACAGTTAATTACTAGCAGAACAGCCTGAGAGGAAGCCCATACTTTGTTTTCTTAGCAGTGTTTTTCAGTATCTAAGGACTTCCACCAGTTTTCCAGCCCATTGCACAGGTAAAGGGGAAGGAAAGATCCACCGAAACCAAACTTCAAAAGTTGCTGTTCAAGTGCACATATCCATTGGTTAGACATTGTTGCAGTGCATGGCACCAGCACAAAGCCCAGCAACGGGTGTCATGGAAACAAAAAGCCTGCTCTGCTAGAGGAGATACAGAGCTACGTGTCATCCCAAAAACAGACACCAGTTTCTTAGGCTAGTTTAAAGGGTAGACTGCGCTCTCCTTGAGATGTTCAGCAAGCTGACACATCTGCTCGACTCCATCAGAGTGACAAACTACCAAGGCTGTGTGTTTTATGACCTGGTCTCATAGCTTGAGTAGAAGTGGAAAGTTCAGCTGAGACCTGTACGTTCCTTCTAAAAAAAGCTCTTTGTACACTTTTATTTGGGTCTTTTGCTTTAAAGAGAAGATGAAGAAACAGCAGGACTGGCACTGATTGTCACAGCAGCAACAAAAAGCATTGGTTAGAGTTTTTGTCTCCAGGTCTTTTTTCCACGGGGTTTCTCTGACATTTAATGAGAGCTGGACTCGTATCACTACCTTTTCTCTGGAAGAGATTCACTAGGTCTTCTGTTCCAACACCTCTGCCTATTTCAACAAAATACGTAGCTCCCCAAGACCTCATCAAACCTCATCCTTCTATCAAACTTCTTCAAACTGGCCCCTAATTAAAAAAAGTATTGGAAAGACACAGCATGTAGGGCACTCAATGCAGAGAAAATCTGTTTCTGCTACTTTTCTGCTCCCTCGTCCTGTAGGTATGTGGGAGGCTTGGGGTCCAGGAACACCACCACCACCACCACCAGGTAAAGAGGTTCTGTGAAAGGGGGGTGGTCTCTCTCCCTTTGTTGCCCCAAGGAATCGCTCCCTACAGCAAGAGGCAGCCTCTGCCCATACAACCTTGCAGCCGTTTCCAGCTCCTCCCTCCATCCGATTTGCTGTGGCGCAACAAAGCGTTCCAAAAATAACAGTTCTTTTTCAAAACTGGAAAATGGCACAAACCACCCCAAAGGAGAGCATGACAACGGCATGAGTTCAGCACGGGCTCGTGAACTGACCCTCCCTGCCAGAGACAGGAAACTGGAACCTCATGGAAAGAGCCTGAATGGAACCAGATTGAACAAAAGCTCCAAAACCGCGGCCAGCGATGGCCAAATCCTGCTGGAAGGGTAACACCCGCCCATCAGTCCGTCACTAGAGTGACAGCAAGGACTGTGTCACAGCTCTACAGCTATAAACACCTCCCTTTGCAAGTCTGCACATACCACAGGCAGGAACATCCACATGAAGACATCTAAAGAACGGAAATATTTCCAAGGGATAGCCTTAAAGTTGGGGATCAGCAGAGCTTGAACATCTGATTTCAATCAATGAAAAAAATTCTAAATGACTTTTGATTAGCAGATGTTGATGCAGCACCCCAAATACACTTAAAAATTGTATTCTTCAGTAATGGTAGAGCTGTTATGTATGAACTGCTAAACAGAGGCCACGCCACTGCTGCTGAATAGACTAAAAGTTGGACCAGGCAGAGAAGAAACAACCTAAATCACTCTCCTTGAATAGACAGAGCCAGATTTGCCACTACCTTACATCTTGTATAACCATTGAGATCATGTCTATGTAGGGTAACTTTTACGAAAATGAAGTTATAAATGCATAATAAATCAATCTAGAAAAATTCCGTGCCTATGAAGAACAGAAAGTAATTTTAATTTGTAAAGTAATAAAAATTGAATGCCAAATCATAATGCTAAAATTGAAGTCAGAAGTTGTATGAAGACAATTTTTCAGAGGCAGTAACTTTTTGATGCAATATTTGAAAATGATTAATTCAAATTCTGCTTTTGAAAAACTTACTCAGCTTTGATCTCGCTCCAAGTTTAGCCCAGAACAACTATTATATGCCTGACATTAAAAGTCTCAAAACATAGTGATTTATAATGGAAACAGCAAATAAATCACTGCTTCAGAACTTCCTAACACCACAGATCAGAACCAGAAGGTCAAACAAAGTTGTCATTGAGTATGTGAGCTCTCCCTTCTGCAGCTGAGGACCGCAACACACAGAAGAGCAAATTCAGCTGATGAACCTAATCAGATATAAGCAATGACTCATGCCTTCCTAGGTATCATTGAATTTGTTTTTGGAGAGGCACTTAAAGATGACAATCAACAAAGACTGTAATGTGGCCAACAGTCACTGACTTGCAGCAAGTTGAGAGAAGGCTTCTTCTGCCTGGAGCAAGGAGATACATTCACCAAAGCCCTGCTGAAGAGTATTTGACCACATCTGACCACTAAAACGAGAAGCGCCATTAACATCCTAAATTAATGGACTTAGTGGTTTTTGAATGAGGTATTTTCATGATGGACATGGTGGGGATTCAGCAAAGTTTGCCCTTCAACAAATACAGCTTCAGTTTCAAAGATTTGATTAGGCTTAATACCATTAGGGAACCATTACTGACTTTATGTTATTGTTACTGCTTTAACTATCAGTTTCTGAAGCAAAAATTGCAGACAGTTGGCTTGACCAAGAGTCAAGGTTTAGGAATGCAAAAGCAAATCCAAGGTACAGATGAGCTTCAGATGTGGACAGGCTTCACAGGGTTTAACAGGCTCTCCAGAGTCTGTCAGGTCACAAAGGCTTTTTTTCTTGGAGGTGTGTGCGCACACGCGTGCGTTTGTTTCTTTGGGGTTTTTGTTTGGTTTGAAAACTTCTGGCCTCAGCCAGTGCAACTGGAATTCATAAGCAGTTATTGCATGCAACATTTAAGAAAAACTCACAACAATCTTTTGTTTTATTGTATACCATTTACAAGAAAACAAAACAAATGAAAATTATCTTCTTAATAAGCAATCCTTGATCACCACCACGTGTTTCAAAAACAGCCAGATGTTCACAGTTTAAGAAGCCAAATAATACTACTACTTTTTGTAAATGTTGATGGTGAAAGAATAATAATGGTTTTAGTCAATCATCATTAGTACTTGAAAGTACTAATTAAATAAGACTCGAAAAACATGAAAATCTGCTATAAACAAAAGCTAATTAAAAAGAACTGCTCTCGACCTGTGTTGTGGGTTTCATCTTGTTTTAAAATTAAAAGCAGTATTTATTTTTCTGAAGCATCCAAATGAATGTTCATATCCAGATGTCCTTACAAAAAAACCCCACGATCTTCATTCTTTCCTCATTTTTTGATCTGTTTATAATATATTTTACTTCTGATTGTCTTTTTCTTCTTTGGCAATCCTCTTTGTCACACCACTGAAATACTTCTCACGGAAAGAATTGTGTCCCCTGTATGGCATATACTGACCCTCCAGCAAGCAGGAATTCTGATCTTGATCCTGAATGGGATCAAAAAGCAAGCATTAGATTTTACAGTAGTACATTCAGCATGTATCAGGTTTCCTTCAGACTTTTGCAAACAATTACAAGCAAGAGTAAAGTTGTTGGTTTTTTTACAATTCAATGGCAAATATTTAAGTCATTAGATTGATTAAAGAATTTCAAAATCAGAATGCTAAGGCTTCCATTAGGATTAACAAGAACATACACAGTCTACTGCAAAGTCTTAACAGTTAACAGAAATTAAAATCCATGTGCAATGGCTTTTCATTTGGCATTGATCAAATACAAGCCATAAACAGATAAGGGGTTTTTTTGGTTGATCTTTTTGTTGTCTGGGGTTGTTTTGTTTAGGGGTTTTTTTTGTTTGTTTGTTTGGTTTTTTTTTTACGTATTCACTCAAGTTTTCATTATTCTACCCTGTACAGCAAAAGAATGCAAGTTGTCAGTACCAGACATATTAAGTTTTAACAGCACTGCACCACTGGAAGTATCTCAGCTAACATCACCAGAATCCAACCATTGCACAAATTATAAGAGCACAGGTACTAAACCACACAAACTTAAAGGAAAATACAGAGAAAAAAATATCATCTGGAGAATTTAATCACTCAGAGGCCTGTGGAAGGCAGATACAAACAGAACACCACCACAAATGACTAAAATGAGCTACTATGGTTTACTGAAGTGCAATCAGAGGATTTTTTTTGTGAGATATTCACATACTTCTGGATGTTAAAGTTGACAGAATAAATCCTTGCACATAATACCTATTTGACATCAGCCAAGAACATAATTTAGAAAATTGGCCCATTATATATACATAGGTCTAGTTCATCATGTGCTGTGGCTTTACACAATTAAAATGCTTGTCAACTCATGTTATCAATACCGTAAAATAAACAATACATCAAACTTTAATCTGAGTGCTAAAGAAAACTGATGACAACTTTTAAAGCTTTTACACTTATGGCTGAAGTCAGTTAACTATGCTCAATAGCAAGACAGAACTGAGATAAGCAGGGTCATACAGAAACAACCAAACTGTGCAAAGAGAAAATAAACCCAAGGATAATAAACCTCTATTCCACTAAATGTTTCTTTTCACCCTTGTTGCGCTAATTTCTGTAAGTCATACAGCAGACAGATTAGCCTTATTTTAAATGTGATAGACCACTGTGGAGCACCTTAGCATAAGCAGCAGGAACGTGGAACTAGATATGTCAGTATTTTCATACTACAGAAGTATTACAACACAAGGATGAACTGAATCCTAGAGGACAGTCTCTCCTTCAAGCTGTTTCGTAGCCACTCCAGGCTTTCACCTAGCAAGACAAACACCTCCTTGCTTTGGATACCATAACACACGTCCTAAAGAAGTGAAACAGAATGTTTTTCAACAAAACAAGCTGTTCATGTCCACATGCAAGTGCCCTCTTCTGGGCACACGGAGATATTCTTGGGAAGTCATTCTCATCTGCTACTCTAGCAGAAACCAGTAGCAGGCCACTGGCTTAAAATTAACTTGCTGAACATTAAGTGCCATGTGGATAACTAACATGTAAAGCATGTACAGCAGTAGCAAAAAATTAGTTCTACTTAAACACTGCACTACTGGAAAACAGCAGGAGAAAATCATAGAATCACACAATGTCTGGGCTGGAAGGGACCTCCAAAGGTCATCTAGTCCAACCCCCCTGCCATAAGCAGGGATACCTCCAACTAGATAAGCTACTCAGAGCTTCATCTAGCCTGAACTTGACTGTCTCCAGGGATGGGGCCTCCACCATCTGTCTGGGCAACCTATTCCAGTGGTCTATCACCCTCATACTGAAGAACTTTTTCTTAACCTCTAACCTGAATCTCCCCTTTTCTAGCTTAAAGCCATTACCCCTCGTCCTGTCACTACAAGCCCTTGTGAATAGTCCCTCCCCTGCTTTCTTGTAGGCCCCTTTCAGGTACTGGAAGGTTGCTATAAGGTCCCTCAGAGCCTTCTCTTCTCCAGGCTGAACAACCTCAACTCCCTCAGCCTGTCCTCACAGGAGAGCTGCTCCAGCCCTATGATCATTTTTGTGGCTCTCCACTGAACACGTTCCAACAGGTCCACATCCTTCTTGTGCTGGGGGCTCCAGAGCTGGACACAGGACTCCAGGTGAGGTCTCACCAGGGCACAGTAAAGACACAGGAGCACATCTCTCAATCTGCTGGCCACACTTCTTTTGATGCAGCCCAGGATGTGATTAGCCTTCTGGGCTGCCGCTGCGCATTGGTGGCCCATGTCCAGCTTCTCATTTACTAGTAACCCCAAGTCTTTCTCCAAAGGACTGCTTTCTAACACATCCTCTCCCACCCTGTATTGGTAATCTTGGTTGCCCCTGCCCAGGTGCAGGACCCTGCACTTGGTCTTGTTGAACCTCATAATGTTCACCTGGGCCCAGCTCTCCAGCCTGTCCAAGTACCTGTGGATGGCCTCTCATCCCTATGGCACATCAACTGCACCACCCAGCTTAGTATCATCAGCAAACTTGCTGAGGGTACACTCAGTGCCACTGTCTGTGTCATTGATGGAGCTGTTAAACAACACTGGTCCCAGTACGGACCCCTGAGGGACACCACTTGTCACTCGCCCAGCTAGACGTTGAGCCATTGACAATGACCTCAGTAAATCCACTGCAGTTGCAGTAAAAGTGCTGTTGTCTTCTGGTCACCTGTGAGAGATTGCCACTTCCAAGATCATTCTCAGGCCAATAATCAACAGGCTTTCAACATGTCCATTGGGGAAAAAAAAAAAAAACACATTTACTATAGGCAGCCAGCAAACAAGGAGGATTTAAGACATGCTCAACTCGCAGTGAGCCTGTACCTCCTTCTCCAGGTGTGCCCTTTTCCTTAGAGTGATCCTGGACAGAGAGACTTATTCTTCCCCTGAATCTGCAGGTCAGAAATCCATCTTTGACCTAAACATACATTTTTATACCTTTGAGATGTGCTTTAATAATAATTCTACGTAATTTACTTGTTTTGAGAAATGGATGGGATATATGACCCTGAAGGATAATGATATATGGGTCAGCAGTATTTCTACATAAAGATTAACCCCCAAAACCTCTAAGAGGTCACACATCTGTACACCATTCATCTTGATTCCTTAAGTAAGAAAATGCTGATTCAGGGTGAGGGGAGGAAAGAAGAAAGGAACTACCCTCCTCTGCCCCCAAGCTGGTTAGGGCAAAGGGAGGATACGATACCTAAGAGAAGAAACTTAAAGCTAAACACAGCTGGAAGAGGAGCATCTGCATTCATCAACTGGAGAGAGGTTTGGTGCATTAGTCCATAGCAGAATTCATTTTGTAAATTCAGGCCTCATCAAAAAGTATGCAAATCGTTGCTCACTAGATCAGAGATCTGCAGTCAGGCACAGGTTTCTTGGGAGAACTTACAAAGCAAGCTCCTGGTCCACATCACAACAGTGCCACCTTCAGAGCTTCCATTCCCTACCTCTCACCTATACAGATGTGGCTGCCCAATAAAGATGGTAATTGCTTTTAAGAAAAATAACAGATTGGGAATTGGTTCTTAAAAAAGAGAAACAAAAGTAAGAAAACCTTGAACTACCCAGAGATGCCACTCACTGTTGACATTTACTACTCAAAATAGTTTTATGGGCAACTGATCCAAGCAAAAGGAATTCTTAGATTTCAGAGACTAATGATATCTGAACAACTTCTAACTTAGGGTATTTTATATCTACACAGGGATCTGAAGGGGTACAATCTGAACACTAGGGATAGGCTGCACTGAACTCTACAGAGATAAGAACCTGTCAAACTTAACCTTCATGAAAAAAAATCGTTGTCCCTACTTGCACTAGAATTTGCTTTGGCATCAGGCAACAGCTCATTTAAGTAAAGAAGCCAGTCAAGCATCCCCAGTTAGGCTCTGTGTTCAATAGCACAAACTGGCAGAATATCCACTCCAAATACTTGACAGGAGTGTTGTGCTGTAAGAGAAGGTCTCTTTTGGAGGGTAGCAGTATCAACTTTCCCTCAAGTGCAGTAACTGTCCAGCACAGTTAATAAAAAAAGGGTGTGGGTTTTTTTTTGTTTGTTTGTTTGTTTGTTTTTGTTTGTTTTTTTTTTTTTTTAAGGCAAGAGAAAGGAAAATTCAGGGAATGGAGTTGAGTTGGACCACAGTTGAGTTGCTTGTGATATCCCCACTAGGGATGAGTAGCCTTTTTCACTGATTCCCTTTGAAACAGACAGATAGTTTTCAAGGCATAAAGCTTGTAATTGGTTTTTCAGCACAAAACAGTGAGACTTCCCAAGAAATAATTTCCAAGACTGATCAGCAATGATCATCCTATTTGGCACTTAGTCAGCCCTTTTCCACAGTCTGACCGTGCTACCAAGAAGATAAAGACTTCTTCCCTTATTTGTAGAACTCAGAACTAAAGATGGTGGGTAATCCCTGGTCCTTCTTTATCATCATCCTCAGTTCTCACTTTGAATAATTTAGTTGCAAATAACAGTTACTACACAAAACTTTTGGTATTAATTGTTTTATGACAACTTCTGTGACAACTCTCGCCAAAATTCATGCTACCAAATTGCTTCTAGCTAATTTGAGTTTTCAACTCAACACTTCTTTCTTCTAAAAACAACAGTAAAAAAAGGTGTTACAGATTTCCAATAAATAAGGAAAGAGGTGGAAGAAAGAGGAGGAAGCTTAGAGGTAACAAGAAAACTTTGTTTTTCTTGAAATCTTGGCAGGTATTAAGTGATACTATTAAGTGATGAATCTAGCATGCCTCAAGTTCAGCTCCAGGGCAATTACCCACATTCAGTTTCTGTTTAAAAAAAATATCCCAAACCTTATTACAGCTTCCTACCACTCTACAGCTGGTGCTGGACAGTAGCTACAGAAACCACTTGTACTAAAGTCTCACAGCTATAAACAGCATGGAGCAGATTTCAAATCAGAAACAAGAGGGTCATATCCAGGAACAGACACTGCCAAATTCAGTAGGAAAAATTCTACACCAGTAGCAACTTTGGAGTGACAGTGTGATGTGGAATTGCCAGACCCATTCAGTGGGGTGGACCTGCATGCACAATGCTCCAGAGTCCTTCCATGGGCAGTCATATGCTCACAGTCCTTCAGTCAGGTATTCTGTTTCCTCTCACTACATAATTTCGAGGTGTCTCTCTTAACCCCTGTCAATTACAGATCTCTCCTCCAATGTTTTTTTTAAGAAGTCCGGAACAGAAACTTCAGAACTAGGTGGCATTTACCAGCCAAACAGAAACCATATATTTCTGTAAGGCACCCAGAAGAGGAACAAAACAACAAATTTAGCAGTAGCTGAAACGCTTCAGCATGAGGAAATCAACAAGCCTAAGAAAGCCAGAGATATTACTGTAAAGAGAGGTAACACCAAACAACCCTACAGTTAAACACTGCCTCCCCTTCTGAAAACAGCTGCTTGATGACCTGAGAGAGATTCCCAAGAATCCTTGTGGCAGTAATAATGCTGTTAAGTTTTCATACTCCAATTTCCCTAATGAGTAACCACTTACCACTTTTTTGACATTTAAATAAAAATTATGACAATTCAGATATCGGTGGAACAGTTTGTGACCTTTTAACCTTACGTAACTATTTTTTAAGGCTTTGAAAAATAAATTGGCACAATGGAAAGTATGTTTTCACTTGATTTGGGCTAGAAGGATTCAAACCTCCTCTGACCTAAAGCAGAAGGCTGGACTCCTGCTAGATCACAGTTGACAGACAATTACAACACAAATCCACTTGCTAACAGCTTCTCATTCTTCCCCTACCACTGTATTTCAGTTCTCACATATGAATGCCTGCAGTCTTTGGAGAGCTGAAGGTGTTTCTACTGCTTCAAAAACACCTCCCTTCACAGTTCAATAAGGGTAGACTCACACACAATCCTGCCCACCGTAATAGTAATTAGAAAGTTTTATTTCAGGTTTAGAGAGATACTGCGGGGATCCACATCCATTTAATTCCAGAAGAAGGGACACTAATGTCCCTGGAAAAAAGTAATACATCTGGCTAGTAAACACTCACCTCTTATCACTTCTGCTTTGTTTCTCCCCCATTCCATACCCTGGTTCTTCACTTCTCTAATTCTTCTGCCTTCAAAGTTTTAGAAGGCTTTCAGAAGTTGCTAACTGGCTACTGCTAGCTGCCCTCTACAAAATGGTCTTCACTCACTCTTAATACAATGACTAGAATTTAAGACTGGGGAGAAGGAGAGTTACTAATGACCACCATGTTTGCCCAAAAGACAACAACATGCACGTGCTGGGTAAGTCTACTCACATCAACACCATGTTCAGTAAGAAATCTTTTCCAGTTAGCACAATTTAATCATTAACTCCAATAGAAAAGGCTGGATGCTTACAAGACAGCAAGTTATACAACACCTTTTGTGTGGTTTCTAATCCGATGTTTACGATTAACTATGACAGCTCAATACTTCCACCAGACATACTCACTTCTGACATCCACTCAGGTCTCCTTCATGTTACAAGCACAATCAAACTGTACCACTAACTTCACATTCAGAAACTGACTGAATCCTTCTCCATTTAAGAGTTTAGAGTGTTACTAGTGACAATGAATTTGTTGTAAAATATACAATTCATTATTGGTAGCAAACACTGGGGAAACCAAAGGACTGCATGACGACACTACATGCTTTGTAAAGCTTCTTAGCCACTTTTGATTACTACACTAAGCTAAATTAAAAGACATTTGTGAGCACCCTACAAACCAGTTTAATAAAGCAGACAGGAACTGTTGGGAAACAAACGCTTGTATAGTCATAAAAATTCACTCTCTCATTTGGGAAAAGGAAAACTGGCCAAAGGTCCAACTATTGAATTTTATGATCCTATCTGGTGACCCAGAAGTATCCAATTCAAAGACTGTTGAGGATATTAAGACAGGAAAAACATGTTGCAGGTAAAGGACACCAAGGTAGGGAAATCTTAGATACAGAGACACCAAACAACAAGACCCTAAACCAAGCAGGCAATAGCTAAGGAGATGTTATGTATTCTGTTATTTGGACAAGTTTTGTATCATCAGAAGCAGTACGTGGGTTCTGGTATCTTTAAATTATCTAAAAGATATCTGGAGTTCCAAGTGTAAGCACCTGCACGGTTTTATCTAAGCAGTAAGCCTGCCAACTAGACTCAGGTGCTCAGAGGTAAGCACTTCCAGACATGAACCTGCCAAGGCTTGTACTGAAGAACAATATCTTCAGAAGGGTGGATATATTTTTTAAATTAGAACATGGCATCCTACAGCACTTGGCAGCAATAAAACTCCTGAAGAAAACCTCCATGAACACCCTGAGACATGCATGTCAAAAACTTCTATAATTTACCTTCTTGATTTGCTACTGGTGGAGTTGGCAGCTCTGGCTTTAAACACAGACAGTGTTTTAGAAAACCCCTCAGCTGTTTCTTGAGAATCTCGGTCATCCTTCTCATTACAAATGCAGCCCTGAAACCCTGCTGTGATACCTGTACAAGCACCATGCAGACACAGCAGTCTATCTCCTGTCGTTCAAAAGAGCTCCCCCAGCTGACAAGGAATGACCTAAAAATGCTCCCCATTTGTGTGTTTTCATTAAGAATTTGCTTCACCTGTCTTTAGCATCTCTTTTAGCAGTACTAGAACAGAAAGGAGACCTGAGTGCAATACTCCCTGGTGGCAATGCCTTGGGAGAGGCTCTCGGCATGCCCCAAAACAAAAGCCAGTGTGCTTCACTGTACTTATATCACAGCTACAATATTACTTCAAAAGCTAAAAAGGTACCACTCTAAAAATGAAGTAATTGTAATTAGTATTTGTTAATTGTACCGCAAAACCCACAAAGGCATTTAGTATTTACTTGGATATGAAATTACACTTTGGAATGAATGAGAATTTAGGCATTTATCTCTGTGGACAAAATTCAGAGAGTTCAGTTTTCCAAGCAAAGCACGTGCAGCTTTCACAAGTCACCGTACATTCAAAAGCCCCTTTCACACTATTAAGTGGCTTGCTCAGGATAAGAAATTATCAAAAACTGAGGAGAGAAAAGGAAAAGACCAAAACCAGAACAATCCCTTAAATAAACTACCAACTTTGTTTGAAAGAAGTGTGTGGCAATTTTACAAAAGCTCTAACTCTCATCATAAAAAAACTCAACTGTGAGAGAAATAAGGATCGAATGCTAAACAGCACAAACTCTTCATGAATGCAGTAGCTACTATTGTATACAATCTAATCAAGAATTCAGGCCTACCTTGAATTCTTTCACCTTCTCCATGGTTATCAGGCGCCTTGATGTGTGGCTGGAAAGCATCTGCTCACAGTTGCTAATAAGTTTCAGGCACGGGTGACAGGGAATGATATCTTCTGTGTATCTGGAAGAAATAAACATTCATAAAGCTGTAAGCTCATGCACTGCAAGACTTGCAGTTGAAGCAAAATTCATACGGATTCTTCACAAAATGGCTTACACTAGAAAGTTGCTATGCACTTTAACCGGATTTAAAAAAACTCAGGTATTGGTGCTCCAGAGTTTATATATCATATATTCCAACCATCTTGTGATGTAAGTTTGTGTGTGGGTCTCTATAATGTGAAGTTTTATTTATTCTACACACTTTTCAACATGTATCTACGTGGTGCTAATGTATGCACGCAGGCCTGCCTTTACCATATCAAGAAGAAAATATCTCAGCCAAACAGGAGTAATAACTTAGCCAATCAGAGCTGTGATTTTGAAAATATATTCCACAGACAACACAACGTTCTAGGAACAAGACACTTAACTCCAGCTCCCTAGAAGGAGACCACTGCACTCCAGCTCCAAATCGTATTAAACCAGCTCTTATTATACAGTGACGTGCCTGGACTTAGAATTTGGAGTTAAAGAATTACCACATGTAATTATACTTTTTCTAAAAGGAAGGAAAAAAAATCCATTTCTTTTAACATTAGATGGTAGCAACACTTTTGCTTTTGGCTTGCAATTAAATCCCTTCTATAGAAGCAGGCAGTCAGAGTGTTTTAAATACTCCAACTCATAAGCATACTATCTTCTACAGAAACAGCTTTCTCTAGATTGCTTTCAATCCTTCTGTTTCTCCAAATGCTGAAAGAGGAATTTAAGGATTTAAGCATTCTGTGTGCCACTACAGAAGCAAAAAGTACTGACCTAGCTAATATGAGATCAGACATCTTTCCTATACACTGAAATAACTGTTATTTAGTCTCAGGTTTTGTAATATGCTTTTCTGTAATAGCTACTACAACAGATAATAAAGAAAATGGTGTATGGTATAGTCAGTGACTATGATTTCATACAAAATGATTGCTCTCATGATTCCCCAATGCTTGGGAGTCAACAGAAGTCAGATATTAGGAAGCAGAACTAAACTTTCACACCTATCACCTGAACTTAAAATATACAAAGGAAGAGCTTCATATTTTTCTTGTAAAGTGGATTTTCTGAAAGCAATTTACCAAGTAAACGTATTCTTCTAGGAGAAAGAAAAGTCAAATGTAAGACAACTCAAAATAGGAACTTTCCAGGTGCTGTTGGAAACCTTTAACATTTCTTAAAGGTAACAGTGAGCTATTAAACAAGTAATACAGTACCAAATACATACTTGTAAATAGGCAAAAACTCAAACAGCACTGCCTCTTTGCATTGTTCCAAGCTTCCAGATCACAAAACAACCTTTCAGTTACTTCTCATGTGTGGAAATCAAGTCAGTACTGCTGCTAGGTGAAGTTGAAGCATGCTTTTGACAAAGGAGAATCAAATAAATTCTCAACTGGTTTTCCTATTACACAAGACTTTTGATGCATCTAGTACCATCAAACTGCCTCTTTCTCTTACAAAGGTAGGCATTCTGCCACAACATCTTAAAAGTTTCTCTTCACAACCATGTGAAAGCCTGACTGCAAAGGAATTAAAAGAATTCAGACTCAACAATGATTTCAATGTCAGATTGAAAGAGTAAACTTTGGACTGAGATTCTATCTTGCACAGGGAGAGATCATTATCACTTTGTTAAAAAGCCTCATCTGTTAGCATTAATGCATATATTTCTACATTCTTTCAGGTAAAACTCAGAACATTATCAAATAAGAAATATAGTAGCAGTGGTTTTGACAGACATCCATTTTCATATTGTTTTAATTTAAGGCAATACACAAGGGTCTCAAATAACACAAGAAGCTGATGGCAGGTGTTGCCCAGCTATATTTGATAACACAACATATTAGTAGATAGTCTCTTATCTCCTCCCCAACATATTTGCTTTAATGTTGTTCCTGTGTTCACCGTTACAGCTGAAAATAAAATGACTATATGAGCATTCTGTGCTAATACAGTGACTGCAGCATTTCAATTCATAGCAGTACGTACAAATTCACTTTTTAAGAGGCAACCCAGCTACAGCTTAAGAGAGCTGGCCTCCCCAAACCAGCAACTAAAGTAGAACTAGGCTGTGCAGTGCTCAGTGACCTAAAGTTAAACACTTTATACTGCTGTAGTGAAGAAGCATGCTCTTGCAGACAAAAAGCTCTGATATCTTGACAAACATAACAAACTCAATTATTCCAAATGGAGTTTTCCGACATGGAAATCTAAGAATTCACAAACACACAGTCTCAGGGTTAAGCATGTACAGGCAGACATTTTGAACAATCACCTATAATGTTGTAAATGTCATTTATTGTTTTGTTTGTGAATAGTCTTACAAGAAAAAAAGCCTAAGATACCAATTTTATCATTAAAAAAATGAAACCTACTAAGTGCACTATTGTGTTATTGCAGCATGTAACAGAAAAGGCTCCTTTTGATTTCCAAACTAGTGTATGATAATTTTATGTAGGACTGTCACAAGCCATTTCCATGGTGAAACCAGGGACAACAACCACTTTATATATTAGTATACTTTGACTGCTTGTAGAAACATGAAACAGCTGCCATGTATCAAGTCCCCATTTTACTGTGAAACAGTTTTGCAAAAAAAAAAAAAAAGGAAAAAAACAGAACAAGGAAACAAAACAAAAAATCCCTCAAAATGTTGTCCAAGATGGTGAAGTAAGATATGCAAGCATGCCCTGCGCCTTTTAAATTCATTTGTAATTCCAGGCTGCATTATTGGGCTGGCAGCATCCTGCAGTCTCTGCTGGCCTCTCTCGTCCTTGACAGGGTTGCTCCCCTAGGCTTCCTGCCTCTCACTGCCATCTCTTGGACACTTGACTTTGGATTTCTCAAAAGAAAGCTAGTAGTGCCAAACCCCAAAGAGCCAAGAATGTTCTCTTACAAGACCTCGTCATGCACCTCTATCAACTAAACACGTAAGAGCCTCGCTCCTACTATCTCAGGAATCTCTCTGCACCTTGAAAGTCTCATCTTCTATGCTTAAACTTCAACCCCTTGGATATGCATTTACAAGGACCATGGAGGTTTTTCTTTTTTGGGTATCAGTCAGGAATTATCTCCATGCAAACCCCTTATTTCAACATCTGCTTTCTCTGGGTGTGAAGTTTTAAACCATGCAGTCTGAGCACTACTCTTGAGCAGCAGCTCTGTGGAAGCCCCAGCTGTGCCGTGCCCCAGAAGGCAGGCGAGTGAGAGGGCAGGGCCTGCAGCGACACACCGCATACCAGACCCACGAGTACGTACTCGGGCTTGTACACGGGCAGCCAGAAGACCAATCGCCCGCCCATCACCAGGTACTCTGCCGCAAACTTCAACAGGTCACAGAAGATGTCACTGAGATGGTAGCTGGACGAAACGAAGATGTGGTTTTCTGTGCTAAACAAAAAAATGTACAAGTGTAAAAATCACAGCTGCATTTTTAATAATAATAAAAATCCTTAACAATAAAAAAAACCCACACCACGAAATGGCTGAGATTTGCCAAACTACCGAGGACAATCCAGGAGTACAACTCTTCCTGTGAGGAACGGGACTTCCCAAATTCCCCTGCTGGCTCTTAAAGCTATCATTTTTAGCGCTTGTGGAAGTCAGAGAAGTACAAGCATGTTTGGAACAGTTATTTGGCACAGCATCTTGTTTAAGGGCAGTTGAGAGTAAAAGGAAGAAGACAAGGGATGCTGGGCAGCGGAGAAGCCATGAGTTGTTTCTAAAGAGAAAGGAACAGTGGAAATCCAAGAAAAAAGGTTAAAGTAAAATAGAAGTATTCCATTTTAGACCGATTTTGTAGCTTGCAAGGACTGACAGGAACTTTTTGAGAATAGGAAACACAAGGTAGTGGTGCTTCACAGAGATAAGAACTAGAATTTGAAACCTGAACACATGCAAATAATAAGCAAAGAAAACAAAACCAAGAGGATCTCCAGAAGTGACAAACTAGTTTGACAAACAAAATAAAGAGGGATTGTCTTCTTTAATTATTGTGACTATCATTTTTTGGTTGGCTGTCAGCAAGATTCCAATGCTGAAACTGAGTTTCCACTAAGGCAGTTACATTCTACAACAGAGAAAACAGCTCACTTACCTTCTTTCAGCTGACTTAACCGTTTCCTTCTGTGAACCTGTTCTGCGAGTAGCTTCTCTGATACCATATGGTGCTATATAAAGCAAATGCAAAATGCAGAGGTCAGTTTTCCTGATGTCCAAGTAATATACAATTATACATACACAACAGTGCACAAGCTGTGGCTTCTATAAAGATAAAACAAAGAAAAGCTTTTACAAAATAAAATGCAGAAAGGGTAATTTATTCAAGATCTATTAAAAGTTTCTTTTTCCAAAGGGTTACTTTAAAACTGTTTCAGAGGAAGCCCTTCAGCTGTAAGAGGCTTCTAGCAGCCTTAGACATCTGCTACACTATGAAGGACAATGCTTTTCTGTTTTATTCAAAAGTTATTTCCCGCATTTCTAATATGTAACAAATAATTCCAACCCTCTTAACAGACACAAACTTCTCTCTCCTCTATAGCACTTAGCTCTCTTAACATGGAATTGTTTATATTGGAATTGTTTGCCAACACATTATGCAAATGGTAATTCTCACACAGACAGGTAAGAGGAGTCAGAAATGTCTCTCATACATTTTTCCATATTTCTAATAGCATAACATACTTCTCATGTTCAATATCATTTTTTGTGAGAGTTGTTTCAGCATCATGAAAGCACTAGTTTTACTATTTTGTAAATGCAGAAGAGTTATGATTTAGAACTGAGTTTGCAGATTGCGTCACATTAATATTCTACATTGACTTACTGCCAAATAGGCCAAATAAAAATTAGCAGGCAACCCACAAAGAAAAGTCAAACTCCTAATTAACATGAAGGTGTCATCATAAAAGCCAACACTAGAGATCAGAAATCACTAGAGATTGCTGTATCGAGGTCTTCCATTTATTCCCTTAGCCTCCACTCCCCCTCATGCATGACAAATGGTGTTAAGTAGAAAGGTTTCTGTGAAGTGGAGGATCCTTTCAAACTACTAGTACTTAAGTGTATCAGAAATGCATTAAAATATCTCTTTGGAAGCTTTCCAGTAAGCACTTAACATCTCCAGAAGTCCATCAGAGCTTCATGGCAGACTTCAGTGTGTTGCAGATCAAGTCCTAACAGCAGCAGCATGGACCATTCTGATAAGTCTCCGTGCATCAATAAAGTTATACCTTCTCTGAATGAGACTTCTTTGAAGGATGATTTTCAGACATATTGATTTCTACTGGTGAAAACAATATTCTCTCCATAGAAGAAAGTATTATTGCCAGCTCTGTTACACAAATTTATAACATCTTTAAAATAAACGCAGCGATGTCAAGTGCAGATCCAGCTTCCACAGTGCTGCTCTCAACAGTCATCTTTTGTGATATGGAAACTGCAGAACTCACAGTAAATCAATGTGCATAGGAACAGACATGGGCAACCACCTCTTAGTCACTGTTATTAGGCAACAAGAAGCATTGGCAAGCTTACGGTCCGTGATGATGGCATCGAAGAGCATCCCCTTCCGCCAGATGGGCCTAGAGGAGTCAGACACCAGAGCATCAAGGTAATACTTCTCCAGACCATACTGACAGAGATTGGCTCTGATGTTTTCATCTGGCCCTCTCCACTTCTGGTTTTTTCTGCTTGCCTTCCCTGAGGCAGAGGCGAGGCATGGAACAGAGAATAAAGCACACTCAACAACAAACTGTTTTGTAGGAAAAGCTTCATATATTCTATCATTTAATTTAAAGGAAAAGAATTAAGCGTCACATACAAAGCCAGAGTTTATCTCCTGCCTCATCCTACTCACTGTCACAACTACTTATGAATAAGTTTACAAATAGCAAGAAATAATTAAACTAGATGAGAGTTCTGCTGCACCATCTATATAGGATGCCACAGAATACATTTATAAAAATGCTTGTAAGATGTCCTCACTATCCATCAGTCATAATTCTGTCCAGTAAGTCAGATATAATTTGCACTGCAGTTTTTTAAAGAGCAGCAAGATTAGACTTCCTAAGCTACATTACAAGAAGCTTCCCATACCACAGGCTTAAAGAGCACACAGCTGTTGTAATTATTTTGAACTTTGTTTTGGTTTTCATTGTTTCTTCTGCTAAAAATTTCCTCTGTAAAAAGCAAGAGAATAGCTTCACTAGGACATGCGTAAATTGGTCAATAAAAATAAGCATAACCACATAAATCCTGTGAGGATTACTGCTGCTTTGGAACCCACTAAGTAGCATCCACCACCATCAGGATTCTTACATTTCAGTGTGGCTCAGAAAAATATGTAACATACCTAATCCATGGATTGTGTTGTAATCTATATCAGTACCACACACATATGCTCCGAAGTGTGCTGAGGAGATTAGAAGGCCACCTATACAGGGAAGAAGAGGGGAAAAGTATGAACTGCTGTCATAAATGTTATCTGCGTTAGGATTTTTTTTCTCAGGAACTTCAGGAGTTTACAACAGTAGCACACTAAACTCAAGATTAAAAAAAAAAGAAAGAAAAAGCCCAATTAAAACTACAAACCAGTTAGAATCACTATGCAACTACAATCAGATGTAATAACACTAAGTTCCGTGTCTGCTATACCCGATTCTCCTTATTTTGCTATGCCCTGGGTCACTCCTTATCTCTGGAGACTGTTCTTAGGAGTTTGTTTATGGTTTTCTGTATTTCAAGGCAATAAGATCCCTTAATCATTACATGAATCAAAAGTTTTAGTTCTACTTTGCAAGGAGCAGAATTTCAAAATGTTGGCAAACAATTTGAAAATCATCACCAAAAAAATGGCAATTCTACCATGCCTGTTCTCAAAGTCAGTTTCCTTGATTGTGCCTAAAGTCAAACTTCTTGTGTAACATAGCTGTTCCCGAGTAAGAAGCAAGAGCAAAGAACCTTATGCATGTATCTGCAACATAAACAGCAACATCAAGAAAGTTTCTGTGATTGTTTCGCAGTGTGAAAGTTCTATACAGATGTATTTTTTCTATATGCTGCCTATTTTGTCAGTACATGTATTAACATACTCATCCTGCAATAAAACTAATTCTCTTAATCATTACACTTGTGATCTGCTTTCCTAACTAAAAAAATACCTACCAAAAAAACAAACGTGATTTCCCCTTGCAACTGGGTAGTGGTTGAACAGCCCAGAGAAAAGAGCAAATGACTTTCTCTCTTCAACAGCCTCAAAATATAAAAAAAAAAAAAAAAAAAAAGCAGCAGATTACCAAGGCACTGCGTTGTAGAGTTGTTAGTAAGGAGGTGCGTAACTCAACAGAATGGTTTAAAACAGAACAGTGACAGGGAGAGAACAGGGCTGTGAACCCCACACGACTGCTTTTGGATACAAACAGTCCTGCTAGGGTAACAGGGATGGCTGCTGCAGGACAAGATGTGGAGCAGCACAGGGAGGGAGGCACAGGCTGCCTGTGCAAGTGAGTGACAGCAGCTCTCCCACTCACCAGCAGTGCGCAGAGGAGCATCTCAGGTGGCTTCGTGGCCCTGCACCACCCACTCAGCACCACCAGACCCCTAACGTGCACCCCATGTGCAGGCTAAACACCTCATCTCAGAGCACTAGAAAACTCCCACACCTTATGCTAACAAACTATCAAAACTGAAAGTGAGGAAGAAAGAAAAAAAAAAATTCCTCTGCTTTTTCTTGTGAAATGGATCAGGGAAAAGCAAGGTTACTCACCCCAGAGGAGTCACCCATTTCCCTTCTCGGCTGCAATCCCTCAGAACAGATGGGCAGTACCTCCAGAGGGTCAAGACAAATTTAGCTAGCCCTGACCCCAAGTATGGCATACCACCCAGTCCTATAAAAAGAGTAAGAAGAAAGTACTTTGCCCATCTAAGAATGTTTTTTAATCACAGGGAAAAACAAAACAAAAAAGTTAGGAAAACATGAACTTACAGCTTTTAATAAATCTCAGCTGGAACTAGTTCAATTGTGTTCACACAGAAGTACATGACTAAATACTCCAATAGGGCCAGCCCTTACACCTACTGTATCAAACAGATGTATACAAAGAGTTAATCAGAGAATCACCAAGTTCCCTGATGACTGTTAGCAGAATTATGATGGCACAGACCTTCACACCTTTCTAACACACAGTTTCCTCCATCCCTTCAGCACAGATGAGGGTCTAGTCATACCACTATCTTCTGGGATGTCTAAGAAAAAATTTCTGTCATTTGCAATTATGCAGTATCACAAATTGGCAAAGGGAAAGTAGGTACAAATGCCTTCCAAAGGTACAAACTAGAAGATTACTGAGATAACCTGAACAGATTGTCTAGAATGAAGTACAAAGTATTCAGTTAAAGACTTGATTTATTCTTCCAGGAACCTCCAGCCTTCCTTCTGCTCAACACTGAGGAATCAGTATCTAAACAGTTAATGGAAGTTACATTTTACAACTCAAAACCCGTCCTGGCCACTCCAGTTTTGCTTTACAAAAAAGGGGAAGCGAGTCTCCTAAGCCAGCCTAGTCAAAAGTATTTTTTACTCCACAGATGCATTCCAATTGTCCCCTCTCACGCTACAGTGGAACCAAGAAAGATATGCAAATTGTACAAAAAAAGAAATCTCAACTGCCATTTCTTCAAAATAGTCTTCAAATCCTGAATATATGCTCTTTCCAAACCCAGCAGCTCAAACCCACGCACCGCATCACTTGCAACTCTGCATTACTTCCCAAGACTCCAGTGGCAGGGCACTGCTGCACTGACAGTCTTGAAAATCCTCTGAAGGACCTCAAGAGTCAACTGATATTCCTGGGGCTTAACCACTGAAAGCACGTGCAGAAGCCACTATTGAGTTGTTTAGCCATAAATATACTTTACTGACAAATGGCATGCCACAGAGTACCTCCAGGGTCCCTCTGTACATTTAATCTCAAGCCTGTACATTACAGATGTTTAGTGCAATAAACCCACAAAATTTGCAAGTCAAATCATTAGGCAGTTTGGGGAGAATTCTGTCTGTTGCTCTTTGAACTGAAATGCGACTTAACATTTTTAAAAAAACTCTATAGCTTCACCACTTCTGTGTGATTTCTTCTTCCTCTAACTTTACTCTTTTTTTTCCCCCCTCTTCAATTTTCACTCCCAAGAGAATGAACACTCTCAGAGAATTTTTTACAATTTAGGTTTAGCAGATTTTTGTAAAAAGTCACAAAACTATAGACATTGAAATGAAACAAACTGCTTAGAGATGAAGTAAAGGAAACTCCTCAACTTTTCAAAGAATACTACCCATCTGCAAGGAACACAAGCACAAGGAGGAGGAGGAGGATATTTCATAAGACATCATTATACACACAAAAAAAAAATCAGGTTGTATATGACCAAAAATTTAAGACAAAAACATGCAGTTCACTAAAACTGTGAATGAACTGGGATGAAGAAGCCATGTGCTAATAAGAATTTGCCTTGCTAGTGACCCTGTAGTGTTGTCTTCTCTCTTCCTAGCTTTGCTGCAGTGATTTCTGAAGTGAATTCTCTTCATCCTCCCCCTAATGTCAGTATTTTTAATTGCATGTGCCTCACGTGGTCTTGATCAAAGCTTAACAGAATCCATGTCAGAAACACAGCCTTTGTTACACTTTTGAAGAAAAGTACTACAGGTAGCTTAACACAATACACTCTTGTACAATTAAATGGCACAACCTGACATGATACATCTTCTATTTTATCTACAAACCAGCTGAGTTTCCCTTATATGTAAAAAATGCTTCTATGCCACACAGTAATAATGGAATAAAAGCTCCCCCTCCTGGCTTAACTTGGAAAAGTTCAGCTGGGGATGAATACATAGTATGAAGAATATTATCCTGAAGACATGACAGTACAAGGAACTATCACTATTTAATGTTATGACCTAACTATTGCCGTGTTGTGTTCTATGCCCAGAAGTGCCCTCAGCACTCCTCTAAATAGCCACTTCCAAAAATGCTGCTCCTCCTAACACTCTGAAAGTGGCTGCAGGGAGGGCTCTAGCCATATTTCAGCTCTTAGTCACTTCGGATCTTAAGCAGTCCATTACATGCATGAATTGGTGTTTAAGCCACGTTACATAAAATAATAGAGTGAAGCCAGACTTGTCAGAAGTGTAAAATAAACTGTTTACATCTTCTTAAGTTGGTCTCCTTCCCCCAAAACACCTTTCAGGTTAACAAAGCATTCATTTTATAATCACCATTTTGGTTCTGGAATCATCTCAATTATCAGCTGAGCACCATAAGCTGCTGTGCCAGGCAAATGTATGGTGTGGGCAGTAACACCATCTCCCAGTTTTTCCCACCAGTAGAAGAAATTAAAAATATATACATACCTGTTCCAACAAATGGATCATACACAAGATCATTGGGTTTTACTCTCCCATGGTTGGCCATAATGAAAGACAGGCAGGCATCCATGCTAGTATTTCCAATAAAGTGTCTCTTTTTTACACTGTAGGACTCGATAAGTTCTCTTTGGCCATCTGCAATCTGTCAAAACATTTAAAATTCTTGTCAGATCTTAGATACAAGATATAAGCAAAAAGGTTAACAGATACCATCCAATAAACAGGTAACTATTTCTTAACATATGACTTTTATTCCTGCCATCTGAAAATATGACAGATTTCTTTGCAAGCAACAGATATCTTAGTTCAACACAGAAATTTTTCAAGACTGAGGTCAAAAATATATAAAAAAATAGAGGGAAAATTCTTCTGAAGAAAATAGAGCAACTTTTTTTATTATTGTACATATCAGAAAAAAAAAAAAAAATCCCGGCAATTCAGAGTTAAAAAGAATTTCAAAATGAGGAGTAGAAATGCATGTGTCTATGTATATATGCCTATATGTACATATGCCTATATACATAGACACCTGCATACTTAAAGTCACACAATTTCCATCTTCATCGGCTTTTATGCCACACTCAAAAAAATCTAAATTTAGGATAGCATTAGATTCAGAATTTACTGGAAAACCGAACAAAGACCAAATGCTAACATTTTTACATCAGACTTCCAAAATATGTTGAAGAGGACCAAAGCAGTCTGGCAGAAAACAAGTTCAAAAGCTCCTCCAACACTATCCCCCAGCTCCGGTCAGTATCAGTCTTACTGGGTAAACAACACAGACTTGCTTATTTTTTTCAGGTTGGTTTATTAATTTTTAAATACTTCAGGAATCCAGAACAGATGTGACAACAGCTGCAACATTCTTCAGTATTGCCACAACCCAGGGTGCTTTCACATTAATCCCAGGCATGGAGAATGCTCACAGGCACTACCAGATCACTTGCATCTCTAACTTCTCTGAACACAGGCCCCCAGCCGCAGCTGTACAACCTCAGCAGTGGTTCCCCCTCCCTCCCTCCAACTGCCCTTTGTCCCAGGACACTGCAAGCAAATATTCCCATCAGTGGCTGGTGTCATTCTGGTAGATGTCCTTTGGAAAGCCACTTTTGCCTCTCCGTAAATAAAAGACCAAATCATATTTCCTCAGGATACCCTCATCATGCAGCAGGTTTGGAGTGCATACACCCAACAGGCAAGAATGCTTGCAGTAAAGGCCTCAGATGACAAGTTCCAGACAGTTTTTGAAGGTGTTTCCTGCAGTACACAGCACTGCACTGTCAGTGTCCCCGGGGCAAGCATCCACCTGCTGACGTCCAAAGCCTCAGGGATCAGGCTGCACTGTTCTGTGGAGGTGCCCATCAGCACCACCTGATGCATTCAGAGGATGCTTCAGCAGGGCTCATGCAATTCAGCAGGGCCACAAGCAATCTATGGTTCCTGTAAATCTTTCTTCATGTCTGAAACAAGCTCCTGGTGCTTTCAGCTCCACCTGAACCCACCATAACGTAACACACCACAAAGCTGTGCAGTCTCACTGCTGTGTTCAGTTCCCTCAGTAGAGGGCAAGACAAGGTGTGTTCCCTGATACAAATTAAATTTTTTTCCACCTCTAAACAGATCAATTATTCTGGCTTTTTTCCTAGTCACAGTAAGAATTGAAGATTTGCCTCAGTGTATTATGCAGTGATAGATTCAGCAATAATTACATTGTCTGCTTCCATTAAAACTCAACATAATTTTTTACATTTAAATTGAAGAACACTTTGTGAAAATACAAGCTCACAAGAACTGAAGCAAGTGTACTCACGCACCCATCTACCAAAATACAGATGAAAGGGCTCTTCTGGAGCATTATTAGGGTCCATTCCATAATCTTCTAAAATCCAGAATATGTGTTCTGGATTCTTTAAATTTACTTTTCCTTTGAATGGCAGAAATTCAAGGGCCTGTATAATAAAGAAAAAGTTTAAAAAAAACAAAGGGGTAAATTTTTCAAATACACATCTCACAAAAAAATGAAAAAAGAAATCAAAAAAGAAACCACAATTCCACTTGTGAGAAATCACACATTAGTACTAAAAGTAAATTCTCAATTTTCTCTGGATTTCTGAAATGCCTTTCTTAGCTCAAATATTTAAAGATTAATCAGGAACCACAGCATTTTTTATTAACTGAACAGAACCCAACTTTAGAGGAAATTAACTGTGCATATTAATCATGCAATTTTCAAGTTATAAACACAACACTGATGATCAACAACTGGTTTTAAAATTTCAGTGATATGCAGCTACACCAATTTACATACTCAGCATTATTTCATGTACACAAAAACTGAACAAAGTGAAAAGGGTAGCTATTATTAATACAGATAATTCAGTCTCTCTAAATGAAATAAATAGGATAAATAGCTCCTCAGATAGAATGTGGAAGAGCAAAAAATTAGCAGTGGTTTAGAAAGCTTCCCAATGAAAATACTGATACAGTTAGGAGGAGAGCACAAGTGCAGTCAAGAGCATAAGGACAGAACAGGAAACAAGCACACAATCCACAGCTTGCAACTGGAGTCATTCGTTCCACATTCCATAACAAAAAATGCCTAATAAGAAAATGAAGTAACAGGTTTTTCCAAAAATCCAGCTTCTGACTCTAGCCACTTGAATCTTACTAGTTTGAGGCAATATGTTTCAGTTTTGCCACCACGCTAGGCTGAAATCAGCAGCAATATTTGTCTTTGCATATGCCTCACACAGTTTGTTTGGGAAAAAAAATCATGAGTTTTGAGGAAATGTTAATTTGGACACATAGATCTCATTTAGAGCTGATAAGACATAAGCTGTAAACTGATTTAAGATCTTCAGGAAACCCAAATTTAAATACACTGATAGCATGGAATAAGAACAACATGAATAGATTAAATTAAACGTCGGGGATTTCTTAAATATCTACTTACATCTATTTTTTCTATTTTCTGTGCCTGGGTCAGTGTTTTATTAAATGTATGAATATGTACTTTGTAAGTAGAGTCTGCCTGTAGATATGGAAGCTGAAAAAAAGGCAGACACTTTCATTAGTACAGCTGTAGTGCTATTCATTGTGATTAAGGAACCACGTTACCCAGATGCTTTACACACATACCATCTTGTGCTCTGGATAGTTCCTCAAAGATGCATAGAGCTCCCCTGCAGATCTTCCATGTCCCCACAGTTCAAATATAGACCTAAAATGACAACGTTTTTGAGATCACAGTCATATGAGGGGGGGGGAAGAATGATAAAATGCCTTGCAGATACTTACTCCTTTTAACCTTCTTGGTGAATGTATTTAGGCTTTGCTTCATGGAGTATTGAAGTGCCATATTTAACTCTCAGCACATGCTTATGTTTTGTTCTTAGCAGAGACACACTTATTTTTAACCCCAAGGTGATACTTTGATGATGCTTTTTTATTTGGTATCATACACTAAAGGGTAAAGTTCAGTCTTAGTACCCTTGGATATCACCAGACCTTTTTCTAGCACACAGTTATACTAACAAATGAGAGAAAATTCACTTGTATCTACCAGTTTGATGGGGTAAGCAAAGGCTGAAAAAGGTCAGGAACAGACTTTTAAAGTGCTTGGCCACTCTGAAGTTAACACCAATTGTGAAACAGTAACATCCTACATATAATAACACAATCAGAGGTTCTGTGCCATTTTAAGATGTGGTTATGATGTTTGGCATTTTCAGATGTTTAAACACTATGGTGTTATCTTATACTTTTTTGTTGTCTGTGCCCATATTGGTGGCTTTTAAGAAAAGCATTGCCTTGGAAGACGAGAGAAAGGATGCTGCTGCAATGAAGGCACAACACCATATCATAAACCTTTCCCCCAGCATTCAAATATCCCAACAAAGTGGCCTTTCCATATCAAAGAAGAAAAATCCTTGTAGTACATGAATCCCAGTGTCACCGCATATATTGCTAGACATTTAGATGTGCATTTGCAACAACCATAAATACAGTCTTTAAGACTGCCACGTAGTACCTAACCAAAGATGGCTCCTGAAGCAAAATCTTCAAAATGTACAAAGGTTTAGCTCACTTAAACAAAAATAAGAGACACTGCATCTTGCTAAGCGACAACAGCATATACCAAGGCCCAGTGGTAAGCTATTTTGTTCAAGGACGCCTTTTCTGAATTACTTAAAGCTACATTTCTAATCTGCACTTACCCTGAAAAAAGTAGAGTGTCTTATTTTTTTCCTAAAGCACCTGATTCATTTACTGTGAGAATTTAAACTATATTTATAGACAGAGCAGTGAAAATGCTGACAGCATAGTCTGTACTAGGGAGAACCAAATACTCATCTTTGAGTTTTATTCAGTCGTTGGGGAAGCTCTTATAATATCTTCAGGCCCACTTCTGACTTTTACACTTATATAGGTATTGGAAAAAAAAACCAAACACACAAAGTGCTGGAGATATTCTATTTAGATAAATGTATGCTTAAGTTTTTAATACTCTTTAGCATTGCAATGGAGATGCCCCAGCAATCTTACTCTAAAACTAGCACACCACCAGTAGCAGACCACGAAAAAACAGTGCACCACCATGCTGTCCACGTAAAACAAGCATGGATTAGGTGAAAGCACAGCGTATGGAACCTCTGCAAGCTGTTTTGTCATGTTTTACTTCCTCAGTTGCCTACAGCTGCTTTTTGAAGTGCAGTACAGTTTATCCCCATTGGAAACATACTAACATAAGGACAATTCTGTATACATGGGGTTTCTTTAGGTAAGAGTGCACAACCCAAGACATTGTAGATACAGCTGAACACCGCACACAAGCAGCACTCAACAGGGACCACACAAAGCTCTGCAGAGGTGCCGGTTCGCAGGACAGCACAGACATCACAAATTTAGCATGGTCAGAGATTCATAGCACAGCTGAGCTGCTTCTCATCCTGAACCATGCCTCCAAGTTTTCTCTCAAGCCTCACTCGAAAGTATGTTATGCAGATGCTTCCAAAAAGGACCAAAAGCCACTGGAACAGCTCCTCTCTGGCACACTCCTGTGCTCTTGAGTTTTCTAGAAAGACCTCTGCTGCAGTGATCTAGGCTGAAGGCTCAGATACCAGCACTAGGAGGGTGACACAAGCAATCACTACCTTCCCCTTCCAAACTTAATTTTCAGTTTTTATGTACCACTGGTTTTATCTTTTAAGGCCATACAGATCTGAAAACAGGAAACTAATTAACATTATTCAAAGTGACACAACAAGACAAGTACTGGCTCTGCAGTACGGAATTCCTTTTCAGGACCCTGTGTTGATCGTACACTAAGAGGGCTGGCATGTTCCATCATCAGCCCTACAGGCTCCAGTAATGCCTCCTCAATTCTAGAGGTAATTAGAGACTGTTTATTTGCCATAATATAGCAAAACAACTTTCCACCATCTACGTTATCACCTGCAAGACTTTTCACCTCTTACTTTGCACATACTGTCCGCTTCATAAGTCCCCGTGCCATCTCTTCTGAAGGAATACTGAGAATCCAAAATGGAGACTGAAATACAGAGAAGTGATGTAAATATGTGGCTGGAGGATGTCATATAAATTACACAACTAAACAATTCTATAGCATGATAAAGATAAAAAAACACCTGTAAAGTGTACAGAGAACATGAGGATAAAATATTTAAGGTAAAACTGTATACTCAGATCTAATGTCTGAGAAATTTTATTTGACTTTTCATTTTCCCCACTGTACCTTTGACTTGGTAAAATACTATTTGTTTAATGCTTCTCCAGACTATTCATCCTCTAAAGACTAAAAACGTCTTCTTACATCCAAGTGGTAACTAAACCTCTGTAACATTCTGTGTCTAAGCACTGAGACCAGAACCACACAGCTTCCCAGCTTCGCTCTTCTAGATACACTGCCTCACTGATTTAAAGGCAAACACCAAATCCAAACTGGTGCTGAATGTTTTCATGGTTTGGCTATTCTGCAAAGAAAAGCCTCCCAGCAGATGGCACTGCTTCTCTTCACACTGTTAAATGAAGAACTGAGGTGCAGTTTGTGCATCTTTTACTCAGTTAGAAGCCTCTACTGAAATACTGAATTGGTCTTTTCTTGAATATTATTTTATTTTCCTAGGAAATTTCAGAAGTTATTCAAGCTACCTGCATTTAATAAAAATATTGTAAAGAACATACTTGTATATCATACACACACTCAAGTAAAATATCTGGTCCTCACTTACATTTACACAAATTTCCCGCTCACCACTGAATTGTCCACCATAAAGCGAGAGCAAAGATGTAATTTCCTAAAGAAAAAATACAAAAGGTCAGGCTCTAGGAGTAATAACTATGTTTTAAAGAAAAAAAAAAAAAACAGGCAGCATAACAAATTCTAATGTAGACAGTAACCTCTAGGTATTCTGAACAAAATGTTAGAGATAGCAACAGAAGAAAGAATGCTGTTTATTACTGACTCACTGTGGGAACTGACAGTGAAACACTGTTAGAGTACTTGCTCTAGACACATCACCAGCTTCATTGCCCTTCTCTGGGCCCACTCCAGCACCTCCATGTCTTTCAGCACGGAAGTGCCAAAACTGAACATAGTACTCAAGGTGGGGCCTCACCAGTGCCGAGTAGAAGGGGCCCTTTCATCGTGATCTTCACTATTCAGTCCTACACTCTCCCAATAGTCCCCTTACAATATTATTCTATATATTCTTATAAGAGTGTCTTAGACACTCTTTTGGCTAATTTGTGTAAAAGTGATGTCTTACTAGTAACAGCCCGACTGAGGGCTGGGCCCAGCACTGAGCATCAATTCCTTTTCTACTACCTCTCTGCTTTACAGGCACCTCAACAGCTTTCTTCAATTGGTGTCTTTTACAGAGAAACCTAAATCTAAGAATATAAACTGAACATGCAAACCAGCAAATTTCCAATAAACAAGCTAGTCATAATTAAAAAGAAAGTAATAAAAAGGCTTTTGAACTGAAACGAGAGGAAAACACCGGGGATGTTTCTTGTGCAGCCTCTTCCCTACAAAAGACACACCCCAGTTTCTGAATGTTAATGACATAAGAACAAGAAGCAAACTTTTATATTGGTTTAGATTTGAAGTGAGCAGGTAAATAAAAAGATTACCATAAGGTATCCTAAAAACGGAGGAACAGAACCACAACATAACACCAGGACGTGGCTTAGTGTGACATTACCCCATTCATTCCCTTCTCAGCGCCACCGCGGCGACACGGAGGAGGCTCGAGACAAGGACATCAGCCAAGGCCTCGAGACCCCCGTTCGTCCGAGACCACCCCCCAGGCCCCACGACTCGAGAAGCCCCGTCCCCGCTGCTCCCCACAAAACGGAGCTATCAGCCCCCTCCTGCCTCAGGCAGCTCCCCCGACACCTGGGGCGGAGAAGGCCTAGCCTGTCGCCAGCGCGGCACCAACCATTCACGTACCCACTTCACGCCGGCAAGAGCAGCTACGTAGTTTTAAAAGTCACCGAAACAAAACCTTATAAACACTTCTGTAAACCCATTTTTCTCTCCGAATTTCTATCTCTTATCTGGAGCCACAAGTACGTTGCCAGCTACCTCTCCTAGCTCCAAAAGCTCTTGAAAGCAGCAAGGAAAGCGCTGCC